TCATTCTTACATTCCTCGGCTAAAAGCGTGGATTATTACTGGAAAACAGGGAATGTAAAACAAGTGGCCATGAATGCAGAGGTAGCCGGAACACCCGTCACGGATTTGGTATGTTAATTTTCTAACTTTTAGCAATTTGATTGGGTTTTATTTCTTTATACTAAGATTTTATCGAAAACTTTAAACTTCCCTTCCGTATAGAATTTATATGTTTCACTGAAAGTCATGTCCTTGAGTTTGTCATTTCTTGTATGTCCTCACATAAACACTTATATTCAAAGCTAGGTGCCAGAAAAAAAATATGGAAAACATAACAACAAGGATAGTAGTATGCAAGAATAATATATCATTAAACATGTTAAAAGCATTCAAATCTAAATTCGAAATAATTGTCAGTTTGTCCAATTGGAATTTATTTCTGTAGAATACAACAACGACAATATTTGACACTGAACCTGCACAATGGGTGAATATTGGAGTAGAAATACTGTCTGATGGTAGAAATGTTACAAAATCATTTGATGAACTGTGGGATATGTATCAACATCCTGATTATGGAGATGTCATTACACAAAGAGATATAAAAGAGGTAATGATAATACATGGAAGAAACCATTTATCAATTGAATTCAAATGCTGGCTTACTGCTTCTTTCTGAAATTGCCATATGCTTCATGATTGAATTTAATTTTTGATACAGCTCTTTTAAGAATGTTATTTGTATGTGTTTATTTTTTTGTTTAGTTGAATCAGCTCCAAACATGTTTTTATCAGAATATCAATTATATAGATTTCTGTTTTTTAAACCTATTTAAATGAGATATATAAAACATAATTCAGATAAACTGATGCGAACCTTATTCTGAATCAATAGTTTAAGATATATTTGAAAGATATATTACTTTCCAATAAGACAATTACAAATGTACCTACTAAAAATTAAAAGGAAAAGAAAATTGATATGTATACACTTACAAGTTACCGAACGATCAAAACCTTAAGTTAAGCAACAGACTTAATGTGATGCTCATAGTAGGGGTGTCATTGTTCCGCTAATGTCACATCACTTCTTTGTAGGTTTGTAACTTCTTAAAAAGGAAAAGGGACATTTTTTTTTGCGGAAGTACGAACCTGAGTCTTTTTTCAACATGTTTGTAGTTATACATTTCATGTACACATTATGGGTGTTATGTGTATGGATGTTTTGCATCATCCTTAAACTATGATCTAGGGTCAATATTATTTCTGACCCTTCTTGCCGCTGTGGTGTTAATCGTGAAGATTCCTATTATTTCTTTTTTAAATGTATATTATATTCAGACATACGAAATAAAATGTTTGAAAGTCTGCGCTGGCTTCCAAAAGATTGTAAAATTAACATAGAACTACTAACCTCGGGTAGTTATCTTCTTTCTCTAGAGCAAAACCAAACCATTTTCAAAAATGTCTTCGAGTTTATCAAAAGTTCGTAAAGATTTCTAATTGTCTGGATAGCAAACCATGATCGCACACACATCATCATCTAAGTAAAAGTCTTCTTTTTATTTGTATTTTTGTTTGTTTAATTTGTATTTAATTTTTTGTTTTTGTTTTCTAAATATTCATTTATTTATTTTTATATATTTATTTTTATGTGTTATTGTTTTCTTTCTGTCTTCACTTTTATGTCTTTTGACATAAATCCATATATATATATATATTAGATAGATATACCATTCTATACATCCATGCTCATACCTATATTTTGTATTAAATTGCTATAAATGTTAAATGGAGAAGACTTCATAAGTCTGTTTGACATGTGTCTTATCCGATTTGTACTTCAACAAATAAAATATGTTTAAACTAAACTACACATTATGGCTTTGTGTGTATTCTTGCGGGATTATCTTAACAAACTCTTTTTTATATTTGAATTAAGTTGACTTTCTTTGAGAAAACAAATTACAAAAAGGATACCAACGAACAAAATTATCTGCGTATAAAAATTGATAATAAAAAAGTAATATAACAAAAATACTGAACTCCGAGGAAAATTCAAATCGGAAAGTCCTTTATCAAATGGCAAAACCAAAAGCCCAAACACATCAAACGAAAGGAAAACAACTGTCATATTCCTGACTTGGTACAGACATTTCCTTATGTGGAAAATGATGGATTAAACCTGGTTTTATAGTTAGATTAATACATTAATGAAAGATTGTGTCAACGGGTATTGTAACTTATATACATTATATAACTATTAAATGAAAAGAATAAATCATTATTGGTGTTTGTGCTGAAATGTCTATCCCAAATATATGTTATGTTTAAAGATCCTGTGTACATATCAAAGTGAGAGATTTTTTTTATATATTTTAGCAATTGACAAACTTTTCCACGATACTGGCTGAAACATCTTATATAGTTGATGGAACATCCACTGTGAATTTAGATCAGGTTGCTAACAGTATTGGTACAATTATTGGAAACAAGCTATTCACCGCAAATTCCTCAGCCGTAGGTTTTATTTATTGTCTTTTATTATACCATAAACTAAGGAAGTTCATCCAAGATCCGTATTCCGAAATAACATACCCTAACTCTTATCCTAAAGGCCAAATAAGCATGAAAAACTCGAAATTCAATGAACGAATTACTAAATAAAATTGAGAATGGAAATGAGGAGTGTGTCAAAGAGACAACAACCAGACCAAAGAGCAGAAAACAGCCGAAGGCCACAAATGGGACTTCAACACAGCGAGAAATCCCGCACCCGGAGGCCCCTAAACAATATTGTACTAGTTCAATGAAAATGGACGTCACACCAAACTCCAAAACAAATAAACGAAAAAGAAATAAATATACGAGACTTACAAAGGGTAGAGACTCCTCACTTGGGACAGGCGGGGATAAACATGTTTTATGAGATCTCAACCCTCCTCATATACATCTAGCCAATGTATAATAAACAAACACACAGAAATACGCACAGTAAAACTCTGTTTAAAAGAAGTCCGACTAGCTGTCTGTTGACACATCAATTCATTAAACTCAACAATAGATATAAGAAGATGTCACAGTACGGTCTTCAACACGGAGCCTTGGCTCACACCGAACAGTAAGCTATAAAGGGCCCCCCAAAAAAACTCATTAAACTCAACAAGTATGTTGACGATAAAAAAAAGTCATCTGCGGTGTATTTGTTGTTTGAATAAGTGTTTTTTTTTCAAAGAATTATATTTATTAAAACCCAAATTAAGGAATTTGTACGATTCCCATTTGTGTAGAAAAATCTGATAAATAAGACGATCTGTAACTATTAATCGTTTTTTTTTAAAATTCTATACGAAATGAAGGCAAGTGACAGTGACATTTTTAACAAAAAAAAAAGCGCATCCAGAAGTGTTGAAAGTATTTAAGAGGTGGTTCGTTAACTATCCTCTTAAAACAATGAATGATCACTGTCTTTTGTATTATCTACACTAAGTGATATTGGTTTTTTTTAATCTATATAATAATAATAATAATTTAATGATAATAAGAGTGCATTTTTATTTTTACGTTTTTGTAGTCCAAGGCATTTGATGGAAATAAAGGTCTCTTGGAAAAGCTTAAAATATTGACAGATAATGAAACATATCCAAAGTATGAAGATTACATCTCAACATGTCAAGGTAATGTCTTCAAATAGTCAGTTAACAATGAAGCATATCCAAAGTATAAAGATGGCGTATCAACATGTCAAGGTAATGTCTTTATATAATCAGTTTACAATGAGACATATCCAAAGTATGAAGATTACATCTAAATATGTCAAGGTAATGTCTTTAAATAGTCAGTTTTCAATGAAACATATCCAAAGTATGGAGATTACTCCTCAACCCTCAAGGTGGTGTCTTGAAATAATCAGTTAACAATGAAGCATATCCAAAGTATAAAGATGGCGTATCAACATGTTAAGGTAATGTCATTATATAATCAGTTTACAATGAGACATATCCAAAGTATGAAGATTACATCTCAATATGTCAAGGTAATGTCTTCAAATAGTCAGTTTTCAATGAAACATATCCAAAGTATGGAAATTACTCCTCAACCCTTAAGGTGATGTCTTCAAATAGTCAGTTAACAATGAAGCATATCCAAAGTATAAAGATGGCGTATCAACATGTCAAGGTAATGTCTTTATATAATCAGTTTACAATGAGACATATCCAAAGTATGAAGATTACATCTCAATATGTCAAGGTAATGTCTTTATATAATCAGTTTACAATGAGACATATCCAAAGTATGAAGATTACATCCCAATATGTCAAGGTCATGTCTTCAAATAGTCAGTTTTCAATGAAACATATCCAAAGTATGGAGATTACTCCTCAACCCTCAAGGTGATGTCTTCAAATAATCAGTTTACAATGAAGCATATCCAAAGTATGAAGATGGCATATCAACATGTCAAGGTAATGTCTTCAAATAGACAGTTTACAATGAGACATATCCAAAGTATGAAGATGGCATATCAACATGTCTAGGTAATGTCTTCAAATAGACAGTTGACAATGAAACATATCCAATATATGATAATTACATCTCAACATGTCAAGGTGATGTCTCCAAATAATCAGTTTACAAGGTTTGTTAACCTCGTAATATGTGCATATGGAGACGACTTACAAAGACACATTTTGTAAATCATACAGGGCAAGGAATATTGTCATTATGTTGTTTGATTGTTTGTTTGATTTTCTTTCTTTGGAAAGTAGGAAAGGCATTAAAAGCAGATTTATTTCATTTCTAACTTTTTCGTAATCCTTGAACAAATTATATCGTACGTACGCGTATTTAATAGTAAAAGCATACAATTAAACACCACAGTAAAATATCCAACATGTCAATGATTACTTTATATAATTGTTTTTAACGTCTAGTAGCAAACATTTCTTCATAATAAAGATTTATTTTGACTGTTTGAGAAAGTTATGTAAAGAAAAATATTATTTCAGGTATGTTAAGAGTCCTGAACAATGCTTTGGAAGCCATCTTACCCAAGACATCAGTGGAGACACCAGCAACATTAGATATATATACAATAATGTCGGATATATCCAGTAGACAGGAGTTATCTGAACCAAACAAGGCTGATCTTACCCCTGCAGAAAGAGCTTTCATTGCTTCACAGATTGCTATGAAGAATGAACTGGATGCGGATATAAAAAATGATGTTGTAAGTAAAGTTCACAATTATAGCTGATTTATCTTACACAGTTAAGATTTAATACATGTGATGCACAAAAAAAACGAGTACGAGTTCTGACTTGCTCTCAACAACACAAATTTATCCCGCTCACAAAGAAGCATGTGATACTGATAATTCACAAAATCTCTATAGCAGTTTTATTTAATTTGGAAGACTTTTTAAGCATCAATTGTTGGTAAAATGGTTTAACACCATTTCTCGTAAAATACAAAATTTCATTTCTTAGGATATTAGAAAAAAATAAGGCTTAGAATGTGAAAGATTGCCAAGTTTATTTCTTCATAAAAAAATTACCACCTAAAAAGTGAACGTTTATAAACAATGAAAATGTCTTATAGGTAATTTCCTTTAATTATAAGGAAAGGTGTCTATACTTCAAACGTTATATAGTTCAAAATCCTGTCTGTGTTCCTAACGTCCTAACCATTGTGATACATTTAGAAAGGGTAGAGAACAATAAAACCAAATTCAATGGAAAACAGACAACACCATGATCAAAAGACTAAACTACATGAATAAAAACAACAGCCGACAAAAACACTACCCATAGCGCTATCAACCTAGTAACACAATCCCCACCATAAACTTAGGATTATAAATATCATTTAGTGAGGGTATAAGAATAATAAATAAAGTTTCAAGTAGGAAATAAACTAGAGCAATGAACAAAAAATCCACAAAAAAGCAAAGCAACGCAATAAAAATGTATGAAACAAATTTCCATTCACACGACTTGTCTTTCTGTAAACAGAGGAAATAGTAGTATACCGTTGTTCAATAGTAATAAATCGATTGAACTGAAACAAATCCTGGTCACAAACCAAACTGAGGGAAACGCATCAACTATAAGAGGAAACAAAACGGAACAACAGAAACATTGAAATGCTACAAAAACAAACGCCAACATGCATAGAAACGGATTATGTGACAACAACTGCCGTATTCCGTATTGTCTTTCATTAGACACGGTCAAAACGTATAGTCTTAAAAGTCAAAAATAGATTAAAGTTTCCACTGGTGTAAAACTTATTTGCGTTAATTTAGCTACATCGCGAGTATGAAGACGCTGTAAGAGGTGAATGGAATTTCATTGAATTTTGCGTCAATCAGATTAAAAATCATAAATAATGGTGAACATGATATAAATGATATTTTTTCCTTAATTTTAAAAGTTTTTCCCCTTAATTCTAAAAATAGGACTAGAAAAGTTACGCATAGCCGTTTGTCCCCTTTTTTGTCCTCCTAGTTTTTGAAGTTGTCACAACAGGTTCACTCAATAGACCTTTACCTTTATATTCCTGTACATTTGTCTAGCCTCGTTTTAATGCTGAATGTCGTGGTACCCAATCTTCGTTTTCTATTTTGTCGTTATTAGCTGAACTATTTCTATATGTAGGTTAAAAACGAGGTTCAAATACTATTGGACAGTATTTCCGATTTAGGTCATGTGCTTCAGAGGCTGAACTATCGTAAACAGATGCCTGTTTACGTTCAAAATGGACACATCAATTCCACAGAAGACAAGAAACTGATAGCTGAGCTGATTAAGAATGGGTTTCAGAACAATGACGTAGATTTGAATTTTGAAGAATCTGATTCCCAGTCTCCACATGAGCAAGCCGTACAGGTAAATGCAATAATAAAAGATTATAGATATTAATTGTTATTATAAGGCATTACCATAGATCAACATCTTTAAAAAGGAAAACAAAAAAGTGGAGAAAACATCATTGTGTCTAAATATTTGTTATTCCATTGATCTGTTATCTTGTTAAAGACATTTACAACATGTTTGATTTCTAGTAAATCTAAAACTTGATGTGTGATATTGATAAATTTCTATTATATAAAACATTTTAAAACGAATCAATGATTTAAATGTTTCTTTAAAGGTAACATTATATGACCACACACCATTTTCTTGGGATGAAGAGTCTAAGTTCATATCGTCAAAGACGGTAACTGTGTCAGTCGGAGAAGGCAATACAACAAACTCAGCAATACCATCTAAAATCAAACTGCAAAATACTGATTTAGTACCAACAAGAAAAACCATCAATATTGCCATTCCTGTAGATAAAAATGAAACCACTTCACAGATGCTGACGTATAAAATGTACTGGAAGACACCTGCAGACAATTTGATAATCAGTATTAATAACGCCATGGATCACCTCAATCACATTATTTACATTCGGAAGAAAGAACCCCCAACGGAAGACGAATATGACTGGAAAAAAATTACAGAATCCAGCGACTGGTTAACCACCAGCGAAATAAAAGTGATAGTAGACCGGGGATTATACACAGCCCCAACAAATGTGTATATTGGAGTCCTTGTTCAAAAAGGTATATTTATTTTAAAACGTTAACAAACAGAAAAAAACTACGCAAGTGGGAAATTTGCATTTATTGGCTATCACTGAGGTCGTTAATGTCATTTGTGTCTCCTAAGGCTAATATGAATGCTATTACTTGATTTTATCTCAATTAAACAAAATGAAAAACACAAAAATAAACAAATCAAGGAATTCAATTTTTAAAATGAAAGGAACTGCAAATATATTGTAACAAATTAAACCTTCTACCATAAAATATAATACAAAGCTTAATACAATACGTATAGCTTTCCATACGGTATGTGTTGTGTGTTATTTTACAATTTACGTCTACGTTATTTTGTTTCTGATGAATAATTGTCTCCTCGACACTCATACCACATCTGATTATGTTTAGAGTAATAACTGTTTAAAAATACTCAAAACAACATTAGTTGAACAAGACCGTGTCTTTTTAATACAAGTAAAACTTGTAAACACTAAACGCATACATGTTTTATTAGACTTATGTCCATTACCAAATATGTTTTTCGTTGTTCTGGTTATAAAATAATAATGCTGTTTTCAAATAACAGAAACGTCTTCCGCTCCTACATTAACCAGACGAAGACGATCATTGAGTACTACTATTGTTGAATATGAAATTATTAGTGCTACGGTTGGTTGTAGAGTATGGGATACTGTAAAGCAGAAATGGGACAAAACGTCATGTCAGGTATGATTTTGATGACCCCATTTTCTATTATATTCGATGTAGTCCTATTTCAACAAGAAAATCAGTTAATAAAATAAATATCCCCTATTGGTAACGTCTCACCAACAACCTAATGATCATGCCGCTCCTTATAGGGCCCATTGAAAATGCGTATCGGAACAACGTGGTCGACTTCAGTCTAGATATAAATATTCTATAGACAAAGAAGGTACTTTAGCTTTAGCCTGCACATTGTGTCTTTTGATTTATTTTATTAACTTTTTTTATTTTACAACAATATAGCACACGATGTTAACAATTACTCCACTGACACAGCTATCTCAGTAAAGGTCCCTGTTTAAATAGTTCCATAGTATTAAAAAAATTAATCAATTAATTCATACAGTGGACCTTATTAACGAATCATATAATGCAAATACACCTTGATCCTAAATATCTTTTCTAAAATACCTTTTCTTTTCTTTTTTTTATATTTGTTTTGTATAATTAGTACCTTTTTAAACCCTGTTTTAAATGCAAAAAAAATATTAACATTTTTGTTTTAAATTTAATTAAGACAGATAATGTAATATTATGTTATATTGTTACTGTTAACGTGCACGTATGTCATTGCTTTATAACATTTAAATTTCGGTAAGAAACAATTGTGATTATTTATTGTTGCAGACATATGGCATGTTCTTTGTGTAGTCGTATTTTGATAGTTCTCGAATTGTCCCAAGCTTGATAGACTCATTCAACACTTCGGACGAAGCAGATTTATTAGTGTTTTTTTTATTTTATAGCACTGGAAACCGATACTTTTGGAATAATTAATAAGATTTTCGCAGTTGACGAATTTCCGTTGATATATTAAGAATGATTTTGAATTTAAGGGTTTATCTCCCTTAGACAAAATTGACAATCAGATGGTTTTGGGTGTCTGCTCAGATCCCCATTTGGTTATAAAGCTCTTCGTGTACTTCTGCATGGAATGATTTAAAAATCAATGGTTTTAGGCGTTCCAGATGGAGGTAAATAAAAAAAGCGTTATGAGGCATCATGCAAATTATCAAAGTAGCTTTTTACAATGATTCATAAATCTAATCTAATGTTAAAAGATGCCAAAAAAAAAGGAATAAACAAACTTCAAAAGTTGAGTTAAAACCAACAGAAAAGGCAAACAACGTAAATCAAGCAACAGACTACAAAACAAAATAAAGAAAACGAAAGACCTAACAGTACTCTCAATAAAAAAACCGTGTGTGATCTCAACAGCCGCTGACGGGCTAATACTCCTAGTTGATATAACTGGTGTTTTCTACACCTGTTTTTTCTGTTATTTAGCTTTCTGCTGTATCAACCATCAATGAGACTGTTTGTGAATGTTCCAGTCCACCAGGAAACAGTTTTGCCACAACTTTCTACGTGCCTCCAAACACGATCGATTTTGGAAGTGTTTTTGAAAAGTTTGATTTGAAAAACAATGCAGCGGTGTTTGCAACAGTTGTATCACTGGTACTGATGTATATTTTGTTATGTGTATGGGCATTCAGACAGGACAGAAAGGATCACACAAAGGTAATGTTATTGACTAACTTATAAAACATTTGACAAAGTGTGTATATTTTTCCAAACAAAATGAAGATTGTATGTAATCGGCAGTATTTAAAAATGTCGAAGTAAATAATAAGCACTGGAGTTCATGACAATTTGTGTAAAACCCATAGTTTAAGCGAAGTAAAGTCAAATACGATAAAAAGCAAAACATATAAGAATATAAATCAATTGTTTTAAAAACAATTGTTAAACGGTCTTTCCCCTCTGAAACATAATTAATTGGTTTTTTGCTTGGTTGGTTGGTTGGTTGGTTGGTCGATTGATTTACTGATTGATTGATTGATTGATTGATTGCATGGCACTTTCTCTGAAACTAAAGTAACGCCTATATTCTGACCGAACGTGACTGCGTACTTATACATCCCGCACAGCCAAACGGACGCCTGAGATGTCCTCATTAAAATTGATCCTAGTATCATTCGTTTATAAATTTTCTCTAGTATCTATGTTACCTCGGACTTCCATTCTTCATCTATTTGTTGTGTATGCATTTTGATTGAATTTGTAGGAAAACGGAGTAAATTTTATCTTGGAAGTTTTATTTTCCTCATTTGGATAAGGAATGTTTTATTCTAAATTTAGGTCCGCGCGCGAGATGGTGTTGTGAAGTCACGTGACCCTCGAATATATATGTCTGGAGTTAGAATATTAATTTCTTTTCAGGGGAGACCGTTGAACAGAGCACATGTGTATTGATCGGACAAACATGATCACTATTGGTTTTATTATTTACAGGTCATTGATGACGGATCATGCATGCATCTTACGTACACATGTTTACGGGAGCACAGATTTGTATTTTAATGCATGATTAAAAAATGTGATTGTAGGATTTCAGCAATATTTACGATTTTTCTACGTCATTGAATTTTATTTCTCAATCAAGCGACCGCGTCTAACGGGAACATGAATTGGAGCCGATTTTTGCAGGAATGAATTTCTATTTAAGAAGTTTGTACATCAGAAGGATTGCATTTTTACAGTCAAATGTACAGGACTGAACTTCAAGGCGAAATGGGATTCCTCAAAGTAGAAGAAAAAAAAAAGGGGGGGGGAGGTGGAGGATGGTGGACCTTGGTTGATAAATTAAGATAAGATGCATGTATACATCATGATAGCTGCAAAGTTTGAGGCTATAATTAGTTCATTTTGTTCATTTTACTATTTCAGTGGCATGGAACCCCTAAAACAATGACGCGTACCAGTTTGACAAAACCTTTCCAGTTATATCATGTCGCGACTAACATTTTGGTCAAATTTTTTTTATACGGCTTACGGTTTACGTGTTACGAAAACATAACGACAAATTAATTTGGTAAAGGCAGATAACTCCGTTAAGATCTCACTGGATCGCTTCGATCCAAATTAGGCAAAAATTCCTGGGGATGTAACAAACAATTTAGAAAAAGAATTTTGTCGATATCTTTTTTTGTTACGAAGAAGATCCACACAGATGATAAAAAGTGAATAGGGAGATAACTCTTGCAAAGAAAATGGTTCGGCTTAGCAGGGTGAAATTTAAAAGCGCATAAACTATACGATACAATATGAGAAATATCTAAGCGACATATTGCGAAACAAAAATTTATCGCAAGAACAAAATTTGGCGGAAAAAAAAAAATAATAAATATAAATCAATTGTTTTAAAAACAATTGTTAAACGGTCTTTCCCCTCCGAAACATGATTAATTGGTTTTTTGCTTGGTTGGTTGCTTGGTTGGTTTGTTGGTTGATTGATTGATTGATTGATTGATTGATTGATTGAAAGTTTGCATGGTACTCTCTCTATGCGAGGCATCGGACTTGACGTTCATATTCTGACAGTGCTGCGTACTTGTACATCCCGCACTCCCAAACGGACAGCCTCAGGATTTCCTAATAAATAAAAATCCTAACATCTTTTTTTTTTTTAATTTTCTCTATTTGCTGCAAGAACTGGTACTTCATAGTTTCTTTTATGTGTTGTGTGTACATTTTGTTTCAACTTGTAGAAAAAAAAACTGAGTAACATTTTGTCTTGGAAGTTTCACTTTTCATATTTGGATATGGAATGTTTTATTCTAATTTTAAGTCCGCGCGCGTAATGATATTTTGAAGTCACGTGACGCTCGAATATATATGTATGGAGTTTCAGGGGAGACCGTTGAACAGAGCACATGTGTATTGATCGGACAAACACGATCACTGTTGGTTTTATCATTTACAGGTCATTGATGACGGATCATGCACGCATATTACGTACACATGTTTACGGGAGCACAGATTTGTATTTTAATGCATGATTAAAAAATTTGATTGTAGGATTTCAGCAATATTTATGAACTTGGGAGCAATTTCTACGTCATTGAATTTGATTTCTCAATCAAGCGGACCGCGCCTAACGAGAACATTTTTTCTTGATTCAGTTTAGGGAGCTACCATTTGATTTTTATGGGGGGCTAGGATGAAATTTGAAAAAAATAGGTAGGACAGGAGTTTTGAGTTAAAAAAAAGGGAGGATGAGACACTTTGCAAAAAAAAGGCAGGATGACAATTTATGTAAAAAAAAGTCAGGATAAACTAAAAAAAAAAAAAAGGCAGGACCGAATAGAGTGAAAAATAAAAAGGCAGGACAGAGATTACAACTAAAAACAAATGCAGGACAAAATTTTTCATCCTAGTCCCTCCATAAAAATCAAATAGTTGCTCCCTTATATTTTACAGGTAAACTATTGTTGTCGTTCAATGCATGCACACAAACAGAACGGGGTTATTATAGTGTTTTAACAAAACGTTCATCGATTAATTTCAGAAAACACATGAATTGGAGCCGATTTATGCAGGAATGAATTTCTATTTAAGAAGTTTGTACATCAGAAGGATTGCATTTATACAGTAAAATGTACAGGACTGAACTTCAAGGCGAAATGGGATTCCTCAAAGTAGAAGAAAAAAAAAATAAGAAAAAAAGGGGGAGGGGAGGTGGAGGATGGTGGACCTTGGTTGATAAATTAAGATAAGATGCATGTATACATCATGATAGCTGCAAAGTTTGAGGCTATAAATAGTTCATTTTGTTCGTTTTACCATTTCAGTGGCATGGAACCCCTAAAACAATGACGCGTACCATTTTAACCAAAACTTTCCAGTTATATCATGTCGCCACTAACATTGTGGTGAAATGTTTTTTATACGGCTTACGGTTTACGTTTTACGTGTTACGAAAATATTACGACAAATTAATTTGGTAAAGGCAGATTACTCCTTTAAGATCTCACTGGATCGCTTCGATCCAAATTAGGCAAAAATTTCTGAGGATGTAACAAACAATTTAGAAAAAGAATTTTGTCGATATCTTTATTTGTTACGAAGGAGATGCAAACAGTGATTAGGGAGATAACTCTTTCAAAGAAAATTGTTTGGCTTAGCAGGGTGAAATTTAAAAGCGCATAAACTATACGATACAATATGAGAAATATCTAAGCGACATATTGCGAAAAAAAAATTTATTGCAAGAACAAAATTTGGCGGAAGAAAAAAAAAAAAAATAATAAATATAAATGAACTGTTTTATAAACAATTGTTAAACGGTCTTTCGCCTCCGAAACATGATTAATTGGTTGGTTGGTTGGTTGGTTGGTTGGTTGATTGATTGATTGATTGATTGATTGATTGATTGATTTGTTGATTGCATGGCACTTTCTCTGTGCGACGCAGCTAACTTAAATAACGCCTTTATTCTGACCGAACGTGACTGCGTACTTATACATCTCGCACAGCCAAACGGACGCCTGAGATGTCCTCATAAAAATTGATCCTAGCATCATTCGTTTATTAATTTTTTCTAGTTTCTATGTTACCTCGGACTTCCATTTTTCATCTATTTGTTGTGTATGCATTTTGATTGAATTTGTAGGAAAACGGAGTAAATTTTATCTTGGAAGTTTTATTTTCCTCATTTGGATATGGAATGTTTTATTCTAAATTTAGATCCGTGCGCTAGATGGTGTTGTGAAGTCACGTGACCCTCGAATATATATGTCTGGAGTTAGAATATTAATTTCTTTTCAGGGGAGACCGTTGAACAGAGCACATGTGTATTGATCGGACAAACATGATCACTATTGGTTTTATTATTTACAGGTCATTGATGACGGATCATGCATGCATATTACGTACACATGTTTACGGGAGCACAGATTTGTATTTTAATGCATGATTAAAAAATTTGATTGTAGGATTTCAGCAATATTTACGATTTTTCTACGTCATTGAATTTGATTTCTCAATCAAGCGGAACGCGTCTAACGGGAACATGAATTGAAGCCGATTTTTGCAGGAATGAATTTCTATTTAAGAAGTTTGTACATCAGAAGGATTGCACTTTTTACAGTAAACTGTAGAGGACTGAACTTTAAGGCGAAATGGGATTCCTCAAAGTAGAAGAAAAAAAAAGGGGGGGGGGGGGAGGGAGGGGGAAGAGGTAGAGGATGGTGGACCTTGGTTGATAAATTAAGATAAGATGCATGTATACATCATGATAGCTGCAAAGTTTGAGGCTATAATTAGTTCATTTTGTTCATTTTACTATTTCAGTGGCATGGAACCCCTAAAACAATGACGCGTACCATTTTGACAAAAACTTTCCAGTTATATCATGTCGCAACTAACATTTTGGTCAAATTTTTTTTATACGGCTTACGGTTTACGTGTTACAAAAATATAACGACAAATAAATTTGGTAAAGGCAGATAACTCCTTTAAGATCTCACTGGATCGCTTCGATCCAAATTAGGCAAAAATTTCTGAGGATGTAACAAACAATTTAGAAAAAGAATTTTGTCGATATCTTTTTTTGTTACGAAGGAGATGCACACAGATGATAAACAGTGAATAGGGAGATAACTCTTGTAAAGAAAATGGTTCGGCTTAGCAGGGTGAAATTTAAAAGCGCATAAACTATACGATACAATATGAGAAATATCTAAGCGACATATTGCGAAACAAACATTTATCGCAAGAACAAAATTTGGCGGAAGAAAAAAAAAATAATAATAAATATAAATCAATTGTTTTAAAAACAATTGTTAAACGGTCTTTCCCCTCCGAAACATGATTAATTGGTTTTTTGGTTGGTTGGTTGGTTGGTTGGTCGATCGATTGATTGATAATTGATTGATTGATTGATTGATTGATTGATTGCATGGCACTTTCTCGGTGCGACGCAGCTAACTTAAATAACGCCTATATTCTGACCAAACATGACTGCGTCCTTATTCATCCCGCACAGCCAAACGGACGCCTGAGATGTCCTCATAAAAATTGATCCTAGCATCATTCGTTTATAAATTTTCTCTAGTTTCTATGTTACCTCGGACTTCCATTTCTCATCTATTTGTTTTGTACGCATTTTGATTGAGTTTGTAGGAAAACGGAGTGAATTTTATCTTGGAAGTTTAATTTTTCTTTATTTGGATATGGAATGTTTTATTCTAAATTTAGGTCCGCGCGCGAGATGGTGTTGTGAAGTCACGTGACCCTCGAATATATATGTCTGCAGTTAGAATATTAATTTCTTACAACTCTTGCAAAGAAAATGGTTTGGCTTAGCAGGGTGAAATTGAAAAGCACATAAACTATACGATACAATATGAGAAATATCTAAGCGACATATTGCGAAACAAACATTTATCGCAAGAACAAAATTTGGCGGAAGAAAAAAAAAAATAATAATCAGAACAAATACAATAGGTCTTTCCACAGAAAAGTGGAAAGACCTAATAATCAGAACAAATACAATAGGTCTTTCCTCAGAAAAGTGGAAAGACCTAATAATAATCAGAACAAATACAATAGGTCTTTCCACAGAAAAGTGGAAAGACCTAATTAGATAAAAGACAAGCTTTACTTTAAATTACTAGAAACAATTATAACTTATGTTTATTCACATTGGCTTTGACGAACACAACAACAACCAACCAAAGTAACAACGTCAGTTCTGATTCCTCCTTCTATTAAAGTATGATAAAGTCTGAGATGTATAGAATTACAAGCTATACCGTCCATCCAATGCCAATCTCATATATATACCTCATCTAAATTAAAGTATATTTTCAAAGGTATTACATTCGATGATGAAAGCATCCGTACGATAAAAAACATTCGTTTGCTCCAAAGGAAACAATTGAAAAACAAACATATGATCTAAAGTATTTTCTTAATGAATACATGTGAACAAAATAGACATAGCAAATACGTCATACATATTTCTTCAACAACACATATAACCAAACAGACATCTATAGCTGTTCATTTATGGAAATAAAAAGTAAACGAGGGGCCTCGATTTTAACGTTGTCTATGATATGCGACTTCATGATTTTCACCAAGAAGAAATCAACCTTCCCTCATTATTACTGAAGTTTTAATAATAATCTTACAGTGGGCTTTATCATACCTGAGTGACAATGGACCTTACGATGATTACTTGTACATTATGACGGTGTTCACAGGACTACACAGAAATGCTGGAACAAAATCCAGAATAGGTTTCATGATAATTGATGGCAAACCAAAGAAAAGCCACTTTTATGAACCAGATGTACGAATATTAGATGACGAATCACATCGAGTAAGTTTTTCGCTTATACAAAAAAAAACGTTTATGATTTATATGTAAGATGAAACACGGGAACTTTGTATGTGGAAAATTAGAGTTATATTCATTTGTGTATTAAGATAGATTTAATACATATGTTCATAAATACCATAAATAAACACTCATTTATCAAAACACATAGTATCGGTCCACCAATTCGTGATGGTGACCATAAAAACGTCGATTTCAGACGTTCATTTTTATTAGAACCCTTGTAAACGAGTAACTATAGTGAACATACAAAAAAAATGTCTCGTTGCAATAATGTCTAGACTAAGCAATGAAAATCTAAATTATATGCCATGCGAATTTTACAGGCGGAAAAGTTCACGTAAAATTCTCTCTTTAGTCCTCCCAACAATGGTCTTGTAGATGGGCTTTATCGATGACTACCAAAGATCGGGCAACCTGTAGTCACAACACCAAGTTAAATAGAATTCAATTTGCAACACCCATTCTAGCGGGATCTGCTAACCATTCCGGAACACCTGTGATAACTCGTGGAATTTGGTAGGGTTTCTGTTGCTCGGTGGTTTACTATATTGTATTTTTAGACTGTTGTGTGTTCGTCATTGTTTTTTTTTTTTTTGGGGGGGGGGGGGGGGTTGGGTTGCAAAGGCATTGCTAGTTTTAAATTCATCAATTTGTGTGCTTTTTATGGACCTTTTTACCTTCCGCCTCTTTTTTGTTATGAATAATAAATGCTGGTTATAAGTCAATGAGATAACAACCCAACCACAATGAAAAAGCATACAGTCATGAACAATGTGCATATGTCTTTACAATGTTGCTTGACTTATGCTGTGGGTAGTCTATAAAATTAAAAAAAAAATAAATTAAATAACAGCAATAAAAAGATCTGCCAACCACAAATTCTTCAAATGATAGAGATATAATAACAGACAGTTATTGACATGGCTCCTGAAATTGGACAAGACATTTACTTTTGGGCGGGCCTAACTTAGTTGTTTTGTTTATATTATAGGGTTTTGGTGTTGGTAGCATCCGGAAATTTGTGATGAGCGTTTCTAAACCAATAAATGATCCAACGGTATTAAAAATTTGGCATGATAATAGCGGACAAGGAAATTCGGCATCATGGTATCTTAATAAAATCCTACTGGAGGATGTGCAAACTAGTGAGAGGTAAAGCTTACACGTTAATCAAATTTGTTTCCTTAAATAAGTAAAAGGCTACATAGAAGTATACATATATTTATGTATCAATGAGATTTTTCATCCGATGATTGACAAATGCAAATAACATATTGTGTTTCTTTTTCTTTTTATATTGATTTTTTGAAGAGACAAAAGCAGCCCATGCAAACTGATAAACAGTAAAATTTTCAAACCTTACAAACTTTTGTTAATTTTATTTAAAGACCAGATTTGGAATAAACTAATAACCTAATTACAAAAGATTACTTGTCAATATGAGCTAAAGCCTCACAAAAAAGAAAGTTTACACATACACACGTCCTTGTAATATACACGTTTTACCTCACGTAACAAAATATCTTCAAAGTCTTGGCTAATAATTAGATATTAATGACAAACATCTCAAAAGTAGACTATTTCGAAAGTGTTTGCAGTTTTGCCCTAATTGCTAGGTCTTAAGCTGAAATGCAAATACTTCAGACAAAATTTCGATAGTTACATACTCATATCATACAGACTAATGTCTTGTAAAGGTCTAACTGACTTTGGTAGATTTATAACACATTTTAATTTCAAATTTATGTAAAAGTGCCAACTAAATTGCCTTATTATTCTTCCTCTTTGTGTATTGGTTCACCAGGCTTAAACGAAAATAAAATATTTATACAATGAAAATATACACATGTACCAGAAATGAGCTCTTTGGAAGAATAGTATACCTAATTACCAAACGTTTAAAATTTCAAAAAGTCAGTTCATATGTCTCCAAAATCTACTTAAACACATTACGGCTCAATCTCAGACATTGTATAAAACAGTCATATATATACGGACTCAAACACAACCATTAATTGAAACATGAATATGCATCGATCTACAAAACAGAAAATGGATTGCAAATGTTAAGAATTATAAATAGCCTTTACTTTTCACACAAGAAATAACAAAGTTTTCTAGATAAGGGTGCGTCTTTCCGTACCTAGAAAGCGACAAATACCATCCAATGCAAACCATTATGAACATTAAAGAGACACAAATGTTTTATCAAAGCAAGTACATGTGCTTCCGTAATATCAATAAATTTATTTTCTGTTATTTGACAGGTATCTGTTTATATGTGATCAATGGCTTTCTTTGGACCACGATGATGGCTGCATTGATTGTGCCATTCCTGTTTCAGATAAGTTGGATAAACACAAATTCTCATTTTTATTTCACGAAAAAACCAGACAAAACACTACAGACAATCACTTATGGTTATCGGTTGCAATTCGACCCGAAGACAGCAACTTTACAAGGATAGAACGATTGGCTTGTTGTTTGTCATTGTTGTTTCTTACTATGATCTCAAACGCAATGTTTTATGGACAAAATACCGGAAGTCAATTTTCAATTGGACCTATCAAATTATCACTTTCTGGGATATACATTTCACTTATAAGTGCAATAATTGCAGCACCTCCAATATTCTTAGTATCTTATATGTTTAGAAGTTCTAAACATCGTAAAACAAGCGAGAAGAAGCCTTTACCAAATAATGAAGAAGTCCCTGACATTACACTACAATCCACTAAAAAGACCAATGAGGAAACCCATTCAAAAGCAGATGTTACAGACGACAATGAATTTTCACTTCCGTTTTGGTGTAGATATATAGCATGGGGAATAGTTACATTAGCTGTTTTTTTATCCGGATTTTTCCTAATTCTGTATAGCATGGAATGGGGAAAGACAAAGTCAGAGGAATGGCTTCTATGTTTCTTTATGTCATTCATCGAATCAATGCTCCTCGTTGATCCACTAAAGGTAACATAATCCAGGTATCACTGTACACATGGAATAGTTAGCCATAATTCTTACAACAGTGTAATATACGTAGTGATTCAAGTAACACAAATTGAAAACAACAGATAATGATTGCAATAATCAACCTATATGTTGCATGGAATAAACTAATTCCGTATATGTTGCCAAATATGAAATGTCAAAAAAAACGTATTATTATTTTATCATAAGTTATAGTTCTCCATGACCTGTAAGTTTTCATGTTGATTTTAAATGACGTTGCAATGTGTTCGTAAAATAGAAATTACCAGTGGTTAGTGAAATAGAATGTCTGTTTTTAGGAACGTTTATGTGGACAATATATACATGCTGAACATGCTTCATACTCGCATTGTTCAAAGCAATTCATTATATACCATACAAGCAGATAGTTTTAGTCGAAATTGTGGGTCTTACAATATTTTTCAAATTTGAAATAAACGCTGATTAGACGTTTAATCATAACCGACTTATATGATTAAAACTAAATTAAATAACTTTTTTTTTACATTAGCGATACATTTTGGAACTTCATATTCAAATTATTAAAGCTGTTCATTTGTTGAAAATTATTGCGATCTCAAATTTCGTTTTCTCGTAAATCATACAAATATTAAGCATACTCTCTTCAAGCTCATATATTACTTTTCACAGATCTATATGTTATTGTTACAAACTATTTCAAAGGATGTGGATTTTCTGAATGGTGATACTTTTTTTAATCAAGTTTAAAGTAAATATATCGTAATTTTAATGTTTTCTACTTTCACAGTGACGTATTTAGTCACATAGATATATTCAAAATAAATTGATTGTTTAGTAACATGCCCAATTGGCCCAGTAGTGGAATACTAGATATATAAAAATAAGGAGATGTTATATGATTTTTACTGAGAAATCTATTCACCAGATACCGAAGCCCAATAATGCATGCAGCTTCTTACGATGCCTTGTGTGTATCTTACAGTGTTATATGTCAACTTTTGATAAATATATATATATATTTGATATCCAAGTGCAATGGTCTATCTCCCTATACAACTATACATTACGATATTTCTACACTACGAGTTTTTGTCAGAACTTAACTGTTCTATCTCCTCCACACTCTTATTGGATTATAATAGCTTATTCATCTAGTAAGTTCTGTATCTCCCCTGTATGTAAGGTATTTTTGCAATACAAAATTGTTAACAACATTATCTTAGTAGTACTATGCTTGAATTGTTTGGATGCTTTGATATCAATCTATGAGCAAATCCAGCACTCCAGAATTGGTGATATTACACAGTTACAAAACCCCATCTCAAATAGAAATATAGGGATAAATTTCTAAAATAACAATGTTTGTAGTGAAGTGTTATATCTCACGAAAACCATCATTCGAACAAAGAATGACTCTTCATGTAGGTATATTCGATCCATATATAACTTTAAATGTCTCATTCAAATGTTTGTGGCCCTGCGCTTTTAAGATTGAATCTAATCTTTGACCACTATTACAAAATTGGAAAACACTTTACTCTAGCTCTAATAGGCCCCAGTATGACAAAATTTGAAACAATTCAAAGGAGAAAATCAATAGTAATAGATTAATAATGAAATATCAAACTACCAAAAAATGGGACACACGCAAATCAACGACTACTACTGAATAACAGGCCCCTGCCTTGATACCGGCACATCATGCATGGTGCAAGTTTAAATTAAGACATTAGTAGTTTACAGATCGTTATCAATCTTCAGATTTTATCAATAAATAGATAAATAAGACAGTTCAAGATGATACACAGAAGCTGAGGAAATATAACATAAACAAAAAGAGTTTTACTGGGTGTCCCGACAGGGTAAAAGTATCTTGCTCTATGTGATCACCTACCATGCTAATTTATACTCAGACAGAATGTAAAAAATCAGGAATAGGACAAAATCGGTAACATTATAGATAAGACATCAAATTCAAATTGTTGACTACCGACCTAAAACTTCGAAAACATGTCGCTAGTGAGTTAAATATAGACATATCGTATTGGTCAACCAATTAATGATGATGGCCGTAACAATTTATGTAGCATCATTTTCAGTCGTTATTCCTTGTACCTCTGTTTGGTGAGTTTTTATGTAAGGAGCTCAATTGTGCAAATTAAGTCCATTTAGTTGAACATGCAAGAGCGCAATGTGTCAATTGAGATTGATGAAAGTAATACGATGAAGCCGACAGTTTGTTAGTGCTTTGTGATGGGGAGTTGACAATATTTCAAATCTTTTCATTATAAAAGTTAAAATTAATATTTATTTGTTTTCAATCAATGTGTTTAGATAAACATAATATGTACACACTCCCCATGTCCATTCTCAATTTTATAAAATAAAGATATGGGGCATAAAACGTCTATAATTGTTTAAAAACTAAAGGACAAAGATAACACATAATAAAACAAAAAACAAAAAACGAAATAACCTACATTTTGTAACTTTACTTTTATTTTAGATTATACTGTTGTCGCTTTTATTCTCTTGGATTATAAAGAGTTATAAAGAGAAAACTGTAAAATACGACAGAGAGAAACTTCTTCTGGAGACAAAAAGACGTGCAGCAAGTCCATTTTCATATCTTTTAGGTAAATAAATATAAGAAGATGTTGTATGAGTGCCAATGAGACAACTCTCCACCCAAGTCACAATTTATAAAAATAAACCATTATAGGTCAAAGTACGGTCTTCAACACGGAGCCTTGGCTCACACCGAACAACAAGCTATAAAGGGCCTCAAAAAATACTAGTGTAAAAACATTCAAACGGGAAAACCAACGGTCTAATCTATATGAAAAAAAACGAGAAACAAGAAACACTTATGAAAGTTTGTTTACATTCATCTATGAATTTCAAAGACATAATTATTTGTTGTTTAACCTTGTTAGTTCTCTTTTTTCCGTTCTCATTTAAACTAATGAAGTAATACACTAATGACATCATCATAGAATATCATGATTATATTCAATATAAAAAACAACATGTAATTTTCTTCTTAAACAACTTGATTTGATTGTTCACCTTTTGGTTGAAAATGATTAAACATTCCGGTCATCAACAAAGAAAAAGTAAGCATATGATCATCATGTAAACTTATAGCATATCTGTTATTTTTTAATTAAGACCACGAA